TCAGTGTGTCAGTGTTCATTTGGTATGAGCCAACCCATACACTGTCCTTCCTAAATGCAGGTGGGTTTACTCCAGATTTCATGAGTAGGGGCTCTGCGTGTGTGTGTGTGGAGGGGTGCATGTGGTTACACACACACATTTCAAGCAGATTAATACAGTTTATGACTCATGAAGCCCGGAGCCCCCATGAAGAGAAATCAGCTTGCTTTTGTGACTGCACTGGTCCCTATGCTACAGTCCTTAATAGAACTGCATGACACATACATGGTCCAGCTGGCTTCAGTGGCCCCTCTCTTCCCAAAGCATCCCTTCCATGCCAGAAAGTGCCAATATCAATGTGGACTTGTGCTTGATCACCTGGAAACAACTGTCTTCAGAATACTTCTGTCCACATTTAAGAGCAGAAAGAGCAGTTAGATGGAGTCTGATGGTTTTTAGCTCAGAAGCAGTTAGAGATGCTGGGTCTGGGTCCAAGGGAGCACAGGGGAGGGCAAGGGAAGCCTGAACCCAGCAGCCGGAGGGGACTGAGCACTGAGGAGGTGGTGAGGGCAGTGCTCAGTGGGGTGTGCAGCACAGCCCCTGCACATTGCTCTGCTTGTTTGGACTCCTGTGTTTCTAGAGGCTAACAGTGTGGTGGGGAAGAGCGGGAGAAGCTTCAGCCATTCAGAGCCTCAGTAAATTCCTACCTGAACCCTCTTGTACAAGCGTATCCCACTTTCACCCAGGTGCACTTACATACCTAGCACGTTCATCATCCCTTCTGGACGTCTGACTGATTCCACAGTGTGTGCAGAAAACTTTTTAAGCTACATTTAGACACCTATACAAAGATACGCAGGTGCTCTGAAAATCTGAGGTACTGCTAGATCGCTGTGGCTACAGTGGAGAATAGTGCCTTACCTCTACATCTTCACATTTTCTTTACTACGTGCCCTACGCATGTGGTCAGCCAAAGGGAGCTTTCTTTCCTGTGTGGACAACACCGACCTATGCATATATGGTTTCATGCTATTTCATAACAGAAAGCAACGTCAAACTGCGTCTACACCTACTTCCAGTTAGGTCAACAGCAAAACTGCCATCAATTTCAATGTGTTTACAGTGAAAACTGTGCTGTCTCACCCACATTTCAACAGTTCAAGCAGCAAGTGGAAAATGTTACAGTGTGGTTTGGTTTTTTCTTTTACCATTGCAATCTATGCACCAAATTCTCTTCTGCCTTGTAACTCATAGAGTCAGAGTTTTTCTTAAATTACAGCCACAACCCTCCTTTCTTCACAGCCTTGTATTTTGTCTTATCCCTGATGCCTGGACCAAACGGCAACAAAATGTGATCTGCATTTCAGCAATGTATAAGGGCCACATTATACTTGTGTGGCAACAAGATATAGGCTAATAAATTATCAGGTGTAATATGTATGTGGGTTTAACACAATCCTGTAAAAAAGGTAAGGCATAATTCTTATTGTAAGATGAATCACTATTATCCTCTGAAAGGGAAACCTTAGCTGGCATCTTTTGCCAAGGACTAAACACACAGGACAATATTCTACAACCCTCCTATATGCTGAATAGCTCTTACTCAAATAGTTTAACCAAAATCAGTGGGACCACTTGTGTGTGCAAATGCTATTCTGCAGGACGACTAATTACAGGCTTAAGCACTTTTGCCCTGAAGATGTACCAACGTGTGATCACAGCACAGCTTAAAACATGTCTATTTTAAAACTACTTGCTCGTGTAAAAACCAACCAGTTTTAGGCAACAGCTGTGCAGCAGCTATCTGAGATAAGGATGCAAAGTTAGCAGCGCAAATAGGATGGCGTGGACAGGAAAGGTGCTGAGCTCCTTCCTGTTCAGCCTGTATGCCAGGAGCCAAGCTATTCTGGTAGATGGCTTCTGTGTATCCAGATGACGAAAGGCAGCCGAATATGCTGTCAAGGGTTGGAAAGCTGGCAGTAACCCTGGCTGCATTTCCCAGAGCCTTCCACTGCTGCTTTTTTCAGCAGGTTACACTACTGTGTTGACTTTAGTAATTCTTTTAAATCTCCATGCATGTTTTTACAGTACTGCCGTCTCCCTCTCTTGCCTGCGCACTCTAAGGGGTCACGGATGTATATGCCAAACACATTTTTATATCTCTGGCATCCCATTTCTATCGTCTTTTTCATTCTGATTCATCTCTTGCCATACTTTACACTATGTGAGCAGGAGGTCTTTCCTTCAGTTGTACTCATATGAGTACATTTTCCTGACTTACGGCCCTGATGGTAAGTAGAAACAAATAGAAACCTGTCTGAAATGTCTGCTAGCTTTAGGATGTCCTCATGCTCTGGTGGTGGCAAGAAAGCCTGCAGTGGGCAAACTAAGAGCCACTTTCTTACTGTAAGATGCACGAGGCCTGATGATGCCCAGTGGCTTCCATGTGATGATGCCTGGGGAGGAGGTTGTTTTTTTGCCCTCAGTGCCTGCCAAGCTCCCCAGACACTGTCAGAGGAGGTATCATAAAATGCTAGATTGGAAAAGCCCTCAAGGATCATCTGGTCCAACCTTTCCAGGCAAACCAAGACCTAGACTAGATGTCCCAGCACCCTGAGCAGCCCAACTTAAAAGCATCCAGTGTTGGGGTATCCACCACTTCCCTGTGGTTATTATTCCAATGGCTGATTTTCACAATAAGAAAACATTTTCTCATGCCCAGTTGGAACCTCCCCAGGAATAACTTGTGCCAAACACCCCTCATCTTTTCCATGCGACTTCTTGTGAAAATGGAGTCTCCACCTTCTCTCTAGCCACCCTTTAAATACTGGAACATGGTGATAAGGTCCCTCCTGACCCTTCTTTTCTCAAGGCTGAACAGACCCATTTCTCTCAGCCTTTTCCCATGCAGCTCAACAGCCCTATGATCATCTTCACAGCCCTTCCCTGGACCGTCTCCAGCCTATCCACCTGTTTTTGCTTAGCAGGGACTAAAACTGAACACAGTCTTCCAGGTGTGGCTTGGTAAGGACTGAACAGAGTGGGAACACAAGCAGACTGACTCCTCACTGCCCTGCTTCCCTCGCATTCCTTGCAATGGGCTGTGGGGCCACCACACCCCCGAGCCCCGCTTTCCTCCCCATGGCCTACAGCGAGCTGCGCGCTCCTATTTACAGGGAAAAACAATAGTTCTCATGGCAAAACCGCCCGTCGCTGAGATGACACCAGGCCCGGCCCAGGCCCGCTTCCTCCGAACCACCGCCGCCCTCATGGGCGGGAGAGCGGCGGTGGCCCCGGGGACCCTCCCGTCGCCCTCCCGGTTCCCCTTCCGGTGAAGCGGGCCCGCGCATGCACCACAACCCCGGGAGGGGAGGGGCGGAGCCTCGCCTGTGCCCATGCGGTCTGGGGGCGGGGGCAAAGCTGGGCTGCGGCGGCGAGCGCCCTGGGCGGGAGGTGGAAGGCGCCGCTGAGGGAGGCCTTGCACCCTCACCGCCTTTCCCTGCTTCCCCGGTGCAGGCCGCCCGCGGCCCGGCGGCAGGGCTACGGTGACACCGGGGACTGCTCAGGCCGCGGCGCGCCGAGCGTGCCCCTCAAGGCGGCGCCTGAGGGCGGGCATTGGGGGCGGGTCCTCGGAGCGCCCCGCCCCTCCGCCTGCCTCTTCCTCACGGCAACGCCCCGCCCCCGGCCCTCCCATTGGCTCCCCGCTCCCTGCCTCCCCTGCCTCCCGCGGCACGGCACGCGCCTCCTACCCCATTGGCTCCTTCCACGCCCCTTCATTTGCATGTCTCCCCGCTCACCAATCGGCGGCTTCTCCCTGCTTAACATGCAAGAAGCCGGCCAATCAGCGGGAGCGGGGGCCGGGCCACCACGTGCTGTTGCTAAGCTTCGGCTTCTAAATTGTTACTATAGTGGCCAGCCAATCGGAGGGCGCGACGGGGATCTGTCAACATTCCCTGCCCCAGCCGGAGGAAAACGGAGGGGGTGTTCCGGCTGCTGATTGGCCGGGCTCTGCCGCTGCGTCCCGCCCCCTCACCGGATTCCGAGTCGCGATTGGCTGCGGGGGCAGCCCGTCAGCTGTGTGTCAAATGTAGGTTGAGCGAGGTGCCTTATAACTGGGGGCTTGGAAGTCCCCCGCGCGTGAACTCGGCGCGGGGCGCGACGTGGGGCAGCGGGGGGCTGAGGGCCAGGCGCAGGCAGCCATGGAGCTGAACTCTCTGTTAATCCTCCTGGAAGCGGCCGAGTACTTGGAGAGACGAGACCGAGGTACTGGGCGCAGGCGGGCAGTCCCTCAGTCACCCGCAGGCGCTCCCAGCCGCTCTCGGCCTTTGTTGTGTGGCGGTGGTGGTGGCGGCGGCGGGCGGCCCGGTGCGGGCCGGGGGACCAGCCCTGCGGCCTCACCTGCCCGGGCACCGCGGGGTTCAGCACAGGCACCGCGCTGGGGGAGGCACAGTGCTCTCCTCTTTGCCTTAACCAAACAAAAACACCCCGGAACGGGTTATTTTTGGTGGCGCTCCGGACGGGGATGGTGTGTGTGTTGCAGCGCTCAGGGTACCTCACACTTCGCTGTGTGTGGCAGTCGTTAATTGTATGGCAGTGCTCCCTTCCCCCCCCCCCCCCCCATCCCCCAGCGCAGCGTGACAAGGGTTTGCATGATCCGCCTCGTTTTTAATGTGCACTCCAATAATCCTCCTAATTTCGGCAATTTTTGTCTTAGTTTGGTTGACCGAGTTGTTATATTCTTTTTGTCTCGCTTCTTTTTAAGAGATGCCAGAATAAAATCCAAACAAATCAACCGGAAAAAATTCTGTTCTTTACCCTAGCGTTCCTGCAAAGGAGGAAAAAAATGCATGGAAAAAAATATATTGCCACTAATGCTGACTTTGTCCCTAGAAGCAGAACATGGCTATGCATCAGTGTTACCCTTCGATAGTGACTATTCCAGAAAGAAAACAAAGGCAGGCACCATGGCCAGAAAATCCCAGAATAACAGGTAATAGACGCACCGCTTTTTCAGAATGAATCGGCAGCTTTTCCAATGTGTCTAGCTTATGTGCAGTGCATACATTTATTAAAAATAAGAACTAATCCAGTGTCTTAGTTTCCCCCATCCCGGTAGTCGCCATTTTTTCCCTGGATGGGCTTGGCTCTGTTTTGATCTCTCATATAAACACTGCCACGCGTACACCATCTCCTTAGTACTCACTGCACTTCTAAACCATCCGCCCTCATCGCTCCTTCTGCTCCGCGCTCACCGACGGCAGCTTTTACTGCAGATCTTAACACCATAATCACCACCCAGACTTCTCTTTGCATGGCACTAATTTCCCCCCTTACCCCCCCCCCCCCCCGCATTTATTTATAAACCACAGGCAGCGAACCGGCCGCCTCCCCCATCGCAGCCAAAGCAGATGCAGCCTCCGGTTGCAGCGCGGCGCTGGGCTCTCGCAGTGGGTGTGTGAGTGCAGGGTGGATGGGGGAGAGCTGCCCGTGCACTTGAACTTCTCCTGTAGGTATTAAGTAAGAAGGTGCCGGAGTAGAACTTGACTTTTTCATGGCTTCTGCTGCACCGCCGGGTAGCCCACCCGCCTGTCGCATGCAGCTCCATCCAAGTGCATGACTCGGTTGTTATTTATCGCGATGATCGTCCGCCTTTTTGTCGTGGTGGTGGTTTTGTTGTTTTCCCCGCAGCCGCTACCTGTGCTGCGATGGCATGAGCGGAGGGCTGCTGTGCGCAGGCTCTCTGCAGCTTTGTTTGCTGCTCGGGCAGTGGCTGTGTACGTGCAGGAGGCTGTCTTATAGGGACAGTGCCGGCCCCTGCCTAGAAGCTCCTCCAGTCCTGTCCTGTGCTGTGCCTGCTCTGCTTTGCTCTTCCAGCGCTGCTCCGGAGAGGACCAATGACCGTGTCCAGGCGGGCCTGCTTCGCCCCAGAGCAGCGATGCTCTTCCCCAGTTCAGGCTCTGCTCTGCACGGCCGTGCTATTTGGTGGCTCCTGTAGAATAGCCTAAAATGAACTCGGCTCGTACGTGACTTGTATTCCAAAGAAGCAGCGAGTCTTGCAGGCCCGCTCCGCTCTCGCTCCTCCAGTGGGCATCCCGCACGGCCGCGGGCAGCTGGGTGTGCTGGCGCTGGGAGGTGCGGGGCAGGCAGCCAGCAGCTGCTCATGGGGCACCCACCGGAGGTGCAAACCGAAATCAAAAGCTGACAAGCACCCTCCTTGAAATAAACATGAGCTGGTGAGCACCCTGCGGGTGAGCAACGTGTCTTGGAGATAACAGAGGGGGAGCAAGTTGTTCCCCTATGCCCCTGCTCCGAGCAAGGCAACCATTGGGGGGGGGGGGGCTGTTCATTTCAGTACTCCTGCATTTTTTGGTTTTAGTTGAATTCTTTGTCTCATCTTGGAGCATAGAGAAGACGTCAGTTCATTTTAGAAAAGAAAGTCATCAGCAGTGGGAGGTGCGTCTTGTTTCCTGAGGCACTTTGCTCCTGAAGATTTTTTATTGTTTTCTTATAAAATATACTCTCTGCCTTTAAAAAAAAAAATCCAATCACAGTTAACCAAACCGGGTCTCAGAGGATTTCCATCCGTAAAGTGCACCTTGAGTTGCACAGATTTCTTTTCTGTTGCCTGCATTCAAGAAATCTGTGTTATTTACAGCTATTATTTCATCGTTTCTGTTCTTAGGTCTCTTGTCATCCACTGCAAAATAGTTATTTGTCTGAAGTGTAAGCTGCTTTCAGGAGTTTTTACGAGAGGATTTGTAATCTAGCAAATACAGCAGAATTAAAAGATTGCTGGTTACAGATTTGCTAGCATTGTTAAAGCTGAGGCATACATGTCTACTTGCAGCTACCCTCCTGCTTTTTTTTTTTGCCTGTAGGTATGTATTTACCTGTCTAGTCTTTCGCTTCAATTCTCATTCTGTAGTAGTGGCAGCCTTCAGAAATGCCACCCTGCGGGATGCCATCTGTACATTTACTTGTGCTTTCTTCTAGCTGCAGTGATTACATTAGGGGTGGGTTGTTGGTGTTACAGGACAGGATAATGCTTGTCGAGAAACGGTTGCAAGTGTAACCACCACCAGAATGGTGTTTGCCTGGTTCAGCAATGTCACTGGGCTTACTTGCTGGTATGGGGAGCAGAGGCTCATTGCTTTGATGCAGCACCCTGTTATTTCAGGGATGGAGGTGCAGCAGCCCATGTGTGCACCCCTGCATTGTATGTACCAGCACTGTGACCACATCTAGCAGTTGCTGCTCATGTTTGCCTGTGAGCTTAGGTTTGAGGGGCAGAAATTATCCTTAACGTTTAAACATCCAGTCTAAAATGCATGAGGTGCACCAGTGTCGCTGGTTTATTATTAGTTGGAGCTTATAGGCTATAGGCTCCAAGCCCCAGACTAGAGTTGGTATTTTTGATAATACAGTCAAATCATCCTAAGCAGCTCAAAGATTACAGGGGGGAGACGAGTGCCCAAAGTTCAGAGGATCTGAAGTGGTCAGATCCTCTGGGTGATGTCAACCACCAGACAAAGTGTTTGACCGTCTTGTTCCACTTTAACCTTTTTCCAGACGTGCTGGGTTTGGAGCATCAGATGCAGGCAGGCATGACTTTGTACATGTCTGAAATATGTGCCTTATTATCGCATCGTTTTTTCTTACATACAAAAAATATGTACTTAGGCAGGAGGAATAGGAAAGGAGCAGATAACTGCACATTACAGAACTGCAGGGGCTTTGTTGTTTTCATTGTCTATTTTTGTATCCTGCTGCTTGCAGCATCTGATCAGACTAAGAAGTGATACAGCTCTACATGTATATATTTTTTTCATCCTTTATGAGCTATACATACATAAAGGCATGAAAAACATCTTCCTCCTCATTCTTGGAAAATCACAAAAGAGGGGAGGAGGAGAAAAACTGTCAGATGTGAGGAAGCCTGGTGTGCTGTACCCTTCTTTGTTCTGTGTTTTCTCCCCCATGTTGCCCTCCTGTGGAGGGGACAGAGAGTACCCCATGCAGTAGAGTACCCCATGCAGTAAAGGTGTGCTAACCAGCTGCTGGGGGACCGTGCAGGGGTGGATTGCAGCTGCCCTGACGTTCAACAATGGCACTGATGGACACCTCTTTCCTCTGCAGAGGTGGTGGTGGTGATGTTCATGTAAGAAGTCATACCTTGAGACCTCCATCCTCTCACTGATGGCTGGCGAGGCCCAGATCCACAGGAGAAGGGAGAGGAAAGCTGCCCTCCCTTCGGACAGGATGCTGAGGTCTGGGCTAAAGCTTGATAGCCTCCCAACTGCAATTAAGTGAGAAGTAATTCTGACAGGTTTGGTTTCATGCAGGGAAAAATAACAGTAGAATTACATTTAATTAACTGCAGTCTGTAAGCCTTCTTTCCAGTGCAGGAATTTAACATTTTTGCTTTGTCCACTGGTAGCTTTGGATCAAAACTGGAAGTGGCCATTAGCAGCTTGTTGCTAAACAATATTCTTGGGGTTATTGGTAACAATCAGACACAATTTTTAGCCATTTCTTTCTCACCTCTGCATTAAAATTACTTGATTTTATGTGTTTTCTTCTCCCTCAGTTTCCTGTGATGTGCCTTTTCCACGTCACACAAACCAAACTGCTTTGTTTTCTCTCTTTCTGGTTTGCTGTTTGTACTGTGTCCTCAGCTGAGATTCAGACTCGTTCCCCTCCAGTAGTTTTGGCCAAAATCCTCTGGCAAATGAAACTGGATTCTTGTTTTGTAAAGAGGGCCGGAGATTGGAGAACGGCACAAGGTTGTCTTTTGGGGGGAGATAAAGCCAGGTCACATCTTCTTGTTACACAAATAGTTATCGGGTGTTTGACCACCGTGTAATAAATACCTGAACTTTCTAAACCAGTGCCATGCAGTCTGATAATTCTTGTTAATGTGTAGTTGGGATGAAAGGAAAAGCATAAAACAAACAGCTGGGTTTAGTGCAGATGTGCTCTGGAATTATAAAGAACAAATATTCAAAAGTCCCCCCCAGGCTCCCTGTTTGCTCCAAGGAAATGGATAGGTAACACGTGTGCGATGTGCCGAGGAGGAATATGACTCAAATCTGAAGTGTGGTGACGTCTGGTCACGAGGCAAGGCACTTTGACAGAAAACCATGGAGCCTGCAGGTATCTGGGCTTTCTTCTGCCCCTGCTGTAATGGCAGCAGGTATGTGGGGGTGAGGTGTGCGTCTGTCTGTGCACAGGGGAGCTCAGGCAGCCGCTTTGCCACAAAAGGGTCAGAAATAAGGTAAAATAAAAGCTCACATCTTAGTGTTAGATGCCAGTCTACTGAGGTCACAGTTAAATTTACTTGCAGGGAAAGGAACTGGTTTCGGCAGTGCAGTGTGTTTGGCCTGTTAGTTCAGGAGCTGTTTTTTTGAAGGAGGGGGAGGTAAAATAAATGCCAGTTTATAAATATATCTTTTGTATCTATTAATTAATATTTTTGCTGGTGTGTTACATAAATAGACTTGTACTTTGTGCTGTGTTCTGGTGAAGGGTTATATCTAGAAAACGATGAAAGCTGCATTTGGTGTTTCAAATAAAAACAGAGCTTAATGTCCGAATTCCTCTGTTAGTGTTGGCTGATGGCGAGGGTCAGCCTGTGGCCTGCAGAGTGAGCCCCTTGCTCTCTGCAGATATTTTTCAGTGCCCACACAAAGGAGCATAGGGATCACAGCCTGATTTTTATTTTATTTTCACTTTTTCCTTGTTTTTCTGTGGGAGGCCAGGAATAAAACGCTGCAAACCAGACTGTGCAGGCACGGCTCCTCTGCTTTTTCTTCTGCCTCGCTTTTGGAATTTGATAGATCCCTTGGGTTTGCTTTCCTCAAGCTGGCAGCAGAGGGACAGCAACTGATATCACTGCACTTGTTTTTGGAACCGATGCATTTTAGTCTCAATACAATAGATCTCACCAACTGGTCTGTCACCCCTGAGGAACCACAGTATGTCTGCAGTGCCTGGGAACTGCAGTGCTCGTGCAGATTGGCGAAAACAAATTGCCACCATATTAGAAGTGTGTTCTGACCTTGCCACTGCAAATATGTGGCAGCCCAAACTTGAATGAGGTATTGGAGCCAGAGCGCTGCAGCAAGGCTGTGCCAGTATGCCTGGCTCCCAGATCCCGGCTGCATCTGTAGGGCTGGTTAAATTTTGCTATGAGGAGAATGCAAAAGTAATTTCTAGTGGATTCATTCCATACAGGCTGTTCCTTTGACGGGCTGTAAGCAATGTGCCCATTTTAAAACAAATAGAAAAAGCCCAACAAGCCCAGGAGCAGCGCACAATGGCAGGACATGTGCTTATGCTCAGGTTTAGTGTTTCCCTGCTCCTCATCTCTGGTGATTCAGGTGGTGGCCTCTAGTATTTTCAAGTGCATCCCATGGCAGGTTACACATGTGGAAGCAAATCAGGATCCTTCCAGCCAAAAGCTGCATAGCAGTTGCATCCAGACAAGACTGCAAACATATGAGCTGCGTGCTATTACACACCAGCACACTTGGGAGAGGGAACTGGATGCAGATGCTAAACGTGTAGCACCTTGTCAGACTTCCTGCTCTGTTTGTTCTTACTCTTTTGGCCTGGACACAAGGTAAAGTGCAGGCAGTGTAGTCCATGTGGCCCTCCAAGTGCTGTGTGACCTTAGGTGGAGTGGTGTCCTCTGCACATGGATTGTACAGCACCCTGCCAACCCTGCCTGCACCAGAAAGCCCTGGCATGGGCAGGATGTCTTAAGCACTTGGTTAACTGGCCTGCTTTGCTCCCTGTAGCGCTTTAAAATGCATTGGCAACTGGTAGCGTACTGGTGACTCACGGTCTAGACCTGGCTCCCATTAGAACCAGGGAGAAAATGTCAGCAGCGTTGCTGCTATGTCTTTGCTTTTGTCAGGAGCTGTGCTGGATTCCTCCTGACAGGATGCACTGTCTGCTGGGGCAGACAGATGGAGGAATGAGAGAAGGTGTCTTAATAATGAAGCAAGCAGCGCATAACACATACAGTGAAACATCAGCCCATGTTGAGGCATGTGGGCAGCTCCTGCTGGCTCACCCATAAACTGGTAGAAAGTGGGCTTTGGGGAAGACTTGCCTTTTCGGTGTTAGTGTTACCTTGGTTAGCACCCATCCTCATTGCTTAGGTGTGTCTGCTGGATATTGCATTGACCAAATGCTCAAATCACATACCTAGAATTCTTGTTTAGGGGAGGGAGGGTGGTGGAATGGGACAGCTCTGGGGACCTGCGCTTGGCTCCTCCCCCTTCTTTCAAATCTTCTTTTGACAATTTCTCCACAAAGAAAATGTAGCTGCTGCTTCATAGCTGGTGAGCTGCTCGGTATTTGCTAAAGGGATATCAGGGCTGTCTCAGGTTAACAACGTAGTCTGAGCAGCGGCGTTCCCAGTCTCCTCTTTAATCTGTGATTTTGCTGATGATTCTTTTATTGTTGGCTTTTCCCTTTTATTTTTATCTGAGCCTTTTTACTGACACCTTTCCTTCATCACTGTCCCCCCAACTCCCCCAGGTTTTGCCTGGAGCTACAGAACCCAAAACAGTGAACTTAAGCTAAACACCGAAAGTGTTCCTTCTCTTGCAGCCACTTCTGAAGGGCTCCGCAGACCATTTGTGTGAAAACCACAGTGGTACATCTGCCTCTTTTATATAAATATATATATACACCTGTATTTTCTTAGCCTACATCTTATCTCTTACTGAAGTAGTAAGACTCCATTTTGAAATAAGTAGTGCTTGGACTACTGGTTTGTGTGCAGACTGGTTCTTATTTTTCCCCTCACTTCAGGTTGCATGAGAGTAGAAGGAGATGGATATTCTTACAATACACTGTGCTGTAGACAGTGAAGGAGAGAATAAACATCTCTTCTGAAAAGAAACCCAACAAAAAAAACCATCATGCTTGTAATAGGGTAGTTAACTTGCTCCATAGGTGGAGCAACTGTCAGGTAAATGTCAAAACTCTCAGTTTTGGTTCCTGAATAGGGCCTGATAGTTAAGGGCATTAGTCAGCATCCCCACACCACCTGAAACGTGTGGCTGATGCCCTTATTTGCACGCTGCAAGTCTTGATTAGGCTTTTGTGTCCTGAATGCTCTATAAAGAGGCACACGTGCGCCACTGCTCCATTTGCTGCTGGCATTACCAGGATGGAGAGCTGTGCCCCCCCCAGAGCAGGCCTGGCAGGGCATCCCAGGTGAATACAGGGGTCACCTTTCATGAGCCAGATACCTTGTACATGTGCTGCACACAGAAGGACTTCCAGTTACTTGTTGCATCCTTTCTTAACCTAGCAAAATACTCTGTGCAAGCTGAAATTCATGGCCAGGGTTCTCCATGCTACCAGAGCCAAGTGTGAGCTCCGGTACAGCAGGCAGCTCGGAATTGGCTGGTTACAGTGATTGTGTTCATCTCTGTGTATAATTGCCAAGAATATCAGGGAGGTCATGCCATAGGGATGAATCTAGACCAGCCTGTATTTCTTTGCCCTTCCAGAGTTCCCTGCAAACAGTGACTTTGTGCCTTTGACATTTCCCGTGGAGATGTTTTGGGAGAATCTTTCTGTACTGAACTTACTTTTTGTGTGTGTTTTTTAAATGTTGGTGGACTTGGCATAGCCACTTTGTCACTTTTCGTGAATGCTGGTGTGGAGAAACATCTGTGGAGAAAAAGTCTGATCTTTTTTTGTGTGTAAGAGTAGAAAATTAAAACGGTATCCCGTTACTATGGTCAAATGGCAAAGGCACAGCCCACCTTGACCTATTAAAGTAGCACAGAATATCTGTAAAAACACTTCCAGTGTTGCTGCATTGGTTGGGAGCACTTACATAGCACTGTAGGAATACAGACATTACCTGATAGTGACTCACAAAAAGGTGTCTGTAATGGTTGGCATAGTTGATGTCTTGGTAACATCACTGGGATGCTTTCCACTGAAAAGTGGATTTGAAGCATTTGAGTTTTCCTCTCCCTGCAGAGGGGCAGTTTGCTTAATTCCTTTGCAGCATCAGGAGCTGCACAGCCTAAAATCAGTAGCAGGTTTGTTCACTGGCTATTTCTCTGCATGAGCCTTAGTTTCTTTTTCCCCTTGAGTGCTGCTTTCGTCAACAGGAACACCCAGGTACGCCGCAGCATCCAGATGCATGCGTGTGCATGGGGAGAGGCAGAGTGGCTCGTGACCAGGCAGGTTGTGCAGTTGTGCAGGAGGACTTTCTCACCCTGTGATGTCTGTGCTCGCCCAACAGACAGTGAGCTGCCCCTTCCACAAAGCCGTCTTGGTCAGCACACCATGGCCAGATGCAGGCAGGGGTTACAGCATGATGTAGGAGAGCTGCTTTGACGTAATCTGCCTGCTATGAAAGCTGCCGCTGCATTTGTATCTTTTGATCCTTATGTACTGGACATGTTTCCAGTGGGACAGAGCTAAAACTCCAGGAAGCTGCTGGTTTTGAAGTGGTGACAATAACTTCATTTTAGGAATGTTTTTAATCTGAGCTGTATAAATAAATAAAATCACTGTTTCCAGCTGAATCAAAAAAAAAAATGATCCTCCAGGAAGTTAGCACTGCCTCTAATGGGAAAAAAACCTGAAGCGTCACCAGGGGGGAGATCTAAAATCCTAGTAGACTGGAAGAGAATAGCGTATTGATGTGGGCAGTTCAGGAGATTTTTTTTCCTGTTTGTAGACTCAGAAGAATTAAGAAGATTCCTCTTTTTTGCCATTAAGATGTCAACAGCAACAGCAGTGGTTAGCTGCTGATTTTTCTTTCTGCTTCTCTGTGGGCTTGAAAGCTGGCTTTTTGGGTGCTTTTTACTCTTGCCTGTTACCATTTAGATCTTCTAATGCTTTCTGCCCCCTCATAATTTTCCTTCACTGATAAAAATCTTGTGGGCTGTTGTTATTACTAACCTGCTCAGTTTTTTATGTCCAATTCTGTTGCTGAATCTATTGGACACTAATAAATGCAAATTTTTTATCATTCCCCCTCCAAACCCATGCTTTACTCGTGGAAATTAAGTTGATAACTTGAAGTATCTAAGGGATGTAACAGTGAACTGATTTAGCGGCGAAGCTGTTTCATAATCCATATAAATACATGCTTTAGAGAGCTCTTTTGCAGTTTATGCAGATGTTGGCTTTTAAATACTCTAACTCTTGGTTTATTTAGCCTTTTCTCTAACGTTTCTTTTTTCTTTTTAATAGGTCATCACACAACGAACTAGAAAAACATAGGTAAGTCCTGAGAAAAAAGTGCATTAAAAGATGTATGGCTGACGTTAGAATTACCATGCTTATCGAAGAATGTTGTGTTAAAGTTGTTTTGATTCTGCACTGAATAGCTTATATAGAGTTGGGTTTTTTTTTAATCAACTAAAATGTAATATGTATAATATTACTTGGCTTTTTTTCATGTTGTTTGGTATGCTGTTTTTGAATCATCCCTGATAATTAGCTTTGGACTGATTAATGCTGTAACCGGTTAACCACAGAGTTACAAATAAAGACTCTAATTGCAGCAACTGTTTGCTAGAGGTGTTAAGTGCTATGAGTACAACCAAAGCAGTTTGTGATTAAGGTGGATGATTTTTGGGAACAGTATGTCACACAGCGTTATTCTGTGTTTTTTTAAAGTATGCCTAAAGTGCAGTTAATTTCCATCTTGCATGTAAGTACCTACAGCTATGTTCTTCCTCTCCATCTGCTTCCTTGCTGGTATGTGTCCTGTCCAAGGAGCTGTGTGTGAGCGAGAAGTCAGCAATTCCTGAGCTGCAGCCTGGTTCTGTGCACCCAGGGCTGTGAAAAGGTGCACTTACTTTTACTGAGGACATTCATTAGACCCTGAAGACGTGATTTTTCAAGAGCTCATGTTTGCAGAGTTTTGGAGGCAGTGTTTGCCATCTGCTGTACCTTGTCAGACTTTGTTTGCAGATGGGTTTTTTAGCTGTAGGATGTCTCCTGGGGCGTGCTGCTCTGTCGGTGCACCCAGAGAGCTGCCGAGTACAAGCGGTCCCCCCTCGCTGCGGGATCACTGCCTTTCACTTATCATTCAGGCAGCAGAGTAAACTCTTCAGGGTAGGTTTTTGGGGGTTTGGGTTTGTTTCTGTAGCTTGTGGTCTTTTGGGTTTCATGCATTCAAAGAAAGCAGGGGGGTTGTGTGTGTGTGAATATGACGAAACCTATTTGCATGCTTCTGAATAAGTGTAACGTGGTTGATGGCACAAGACTGAACTCATGGGGGAGTTTTGTGTGTTGTTCTGTGGCCGCAGTTCTGTAGCAGCTAGACCATCACTTCCCCTGCATGCCTCCATGCTTTCCTGTAGTTTAACTGTAATACGAGTAAACTATAGCTCTGCCTAATAGCCACGTGGTCGTCCTAGAGATGAGAGGAACTAGGGAAGGCTCAAGCTCACGGACGCAGGCCTGGGCTGCAGAATGCAGTACATTGGCCGGGGCAGTGAAATCAGCGGGCAGGAGTTCTGCCAACAGAGTCTTCAGGAAAATAGCTTCATGCAAAATTCTGTCCTTCAGTCACACTTCCTTAACAATGAAAGAATTATCTTTGGCCCCAGTTGTGCTTCTTTCTCACTCTTACTTTTTTTCCATCCTCTTTCTAGATACTCTGCTTTATTTATTCCTTTCCCCCTACACCATCATTACTGACTTGTCATCTGAACTGAATAGTTCTTCTTTTTCCTTTTTTACTTCCAATCATTTTTATACCCTGAAGATGGAATTGCCTCTTCTTCCCTCTGCTGTTTAAGCAGCACAGTAAATGAGGCATCTGCAGCAGATGCAGGGGTAGAAGGAGGACATTAATTGTCCAACCTCTGTTCTCACTTCCAGTTCTATGTTGTGTCTTTGTAGTAGCTGGACCTATATAGAGTATTTACCTTACCTTGCTACCTTTTCTTTCTCTGTTGTCTCAAGGTCAAAATAGGTAAACTGCAAGGTATGTCATATGATTATACAACTAACATTTGTAACTGCTGCAGCTAGCTGTACCTCCTACAGGCAGCCTGTACCTGAAGCCACAGTTTTATTAATCCTGATGAGAACCTGCAAATTAGAGCAAGATCCTTGTATGTGCAAATGGGTGCTCACAAAAGCAGATGAGGTGTACAATTCTAGTTACCTGATGTATTGCTCTGAAGGACTCTTGTAGTTTTAATGTTTTTTAACAACCTCCTCCTCCAGTCCTGTGTGTGTATGAGCTGATAATCCCAGTTGTACTGGTTTTCACTATGTTTTACTAAAAATGCATTAAAATCCATTGAGCATCTGGCAGAGGTTAAAGGAAGATTCCCAGCCAGTGTGTTCCTGCAGCAGAGCCTTCCTCCTGCCAGCTGTGAAACACTGGATGTTGATTTTGGAGGTGTACCCCTTTCCAGGACTAGTGCCTTTGAATCATCATTGCCATGATGCTTCTGGCTGAGACACGCTTGGTTATCTCACAGGAGCCTATCATGGAGGAAGAGAGGAGATGGCTGCTCATATCCTCTTCCTTGCCCAGTGCCCCATGTGGTGTCTCTGGGCTGGACTGAGTTCTGGAGAGCAGGGAAATGGCTTCCTCATTTACAGGTCCTCCATGAAGGTGGCCAGAGCTGCCACTAACCAGAAAGCCACCTGTAATGGTTCCTGGTGCTGTTTCAGGTTCTGCGTTGGTTTTGATGTCAGTAGGGATGGCAGTGGTTGATCTGTGTGTGTGTGTGCAGCCTCGGCTGTTTGACACCACTGCTTTAATTTGCATTTTCTACTGTAAGGGCTCTTTTCTCTATGCTTTTGAGGGATGCTCAGGGAAAGACAAATGGAAGCAGAGACATAATTTCAACAAAAACTCTCGTTATATGATAAAAGTCAGGCTACTACTATGGTAAAGTGTTTGTCAGCAATTCATAGGTAAAATTCCTTTTTCTCTGCTTTAAGTCTGCCTAGAATACCCTGCTCATAACTTCAGTGTGTGCTCAATATAGCGGAACTGTGTAAGGACTCATCCCCTATTGGAGGTCCTGCTTTGCTCATGTGTGATTAAGGTTTGCATCTCAGAACCATGAAAGAGGAAATCCTCTAAATAAGAAGTATGAAGGCAGAAAAATCTTCTTAAGGACAGATGAGGTTCTAGAAGATAGTCTAATAATTACAGACAGGTCAGTTGGAGTGGCGCCTAGATGTGACTAGTTCCAGAGGACAAATGCATACATATATACTAATGTATGTATTTTTTGTTACTGTTTTCAGATGGACCATTATATCAGTAGGCTTTCACAGAGCAACGTAAATAGCAAATATATCATTAATCATGACTTCTTGAAGGCTGTTTTTAAATCTATCTAACCTGACAGCTCTACAGAGGAATGCAGCTTTCACAGTGTAGAAAAACCCCAAGAATCCATGAGAGACTCGAGCTTCTTAGAAGGGGACTTTTCACAAGGGCATGTAGTGACAGGACAAGAGGGAATTGCTCTAAAATGAAAGAGGGAAGATTTAGATGAGACATTAGAAAGAAGCCCTTCCCTGTGAGGGTGCTGAGGCACTGGCACAGGGTGCCTAGAGAAGCTGTGGCTGCCCCATCCCTGGCAGTGTTCAAGGCCAGGTTGGATGGGGCTTGGAGCAACCTGCTCTAGTGGAAGAAGGTGTCCCTGCCTGTGTGGGGAGGTGAGGTGGAACTGGATGAGCTGTAAGGTCCTTTCCAACCCAAATGTGGGGGGGTGAGGTGGAACTGGATGAGCTGTAAGGTCCTTTCCAACCCAAACCATTCTACAAGTCTGATTCTTAAAATGAGAGAGGACGATCTCATTTATTTGCATCAATTTATACTGGTTCTACATTGTAATGTAAAACCCAAGATAAATCCCCTAGAAGATTGTACTGAGGTCATCTTACTGTTCTGTGGGAGGAACTGACACCTCCCTGCTGTGGTCCTGTCTATTGTCAGAGGTGGATGGAGCCCTGATGAGGGATATTGGGACCGACCTGTCAAAGCTCCTTTGGTGACAAAGTAGTTTCACTGCTCTCTGGTTGTGAGGAGCTCTGCTGCAGGAGGAGCTCAGCATTGACAGTAGCTTGTGAAACTTAATGATTGTAAAGAACAGCTTTTAAGAATTAGGGAAGAAATTGATGAAAGTGCCTTGAAATCGGCAAGCCACATGCTGCTGTCCCCTCTCTGGCACCATGTGAGCTGAGCAAGTGCCTTGGCTGGGTAACTATGGCTTGATCTAGATGGGCAGCTATCTCCTGCCTCTGTCAGACCATTTGTATTATTCTCTGTGGGGTTTTCCTGTTTGGTTTTTCCTTATCAAGAAGGGCAAAGGGGCAGGTCAGCACCAGTAGAGGTTGTCCTGCCTGCATTCCACCAACTCCTAGAAGCAGTGGCAGTGTAATGAGAAAAGGGAGTTGATCAGTGTCTGTGGGCAGGATGGACTGGTGATCCTGAGCATGGCAGTGCTCAGCACTGCAGCATCTGACTTGTGAGTGCTCTCCTGCTTGGAGAAATCAACAGATCCCATTGCAGGTCCCCAGGCAAGCTGAGCCACATGGAGGTGAAAACCAGGCAGTGCTGTTGGGAGAGATGTGCTCTAGAGGCATTTCCCCGCTTTCCTATGGAAGTTGCTCCAAGAAGTGTGCTGGTGTTTAGCTCGGTCTTTGGATGTTGGGAGAGCAGTCCTCTCTTGTCCAGGCTCACTAGTTTGTATTGCAGCGAACTGAGGCTGCTGTGGACATGGCCTGGATCAGCTGAGTGGAGCAGCCCTGACTTTTGGGAAGTGCAAGACCAGGATGGGGCATACATGAGACATGGTGACTTGCAAAAGCTTTTGGAAGAAGAAAACAAACCTTTTCTTCTTCCCATATGAGCCTAATGTATGCATTGTTTACAGCACTGGAAGTGTTCCCGCATGTGCACATGGTAATGCTGTCCTGAGGTTTGTGTAGTCCTTAAAGCTAAAATCTTGCCAGAAAAAGGTTGTTCTGTTGCATCACCATGTGTATGATGTAGGTGTCTGTACATAAGCGTAGGTTTCAATAAGAAATCTATATTTTCATGGGCACATTATGACACTGATAAAGTAAAGGGAGTAAGTGCCTCTGAAGTTAAGTGTTAATAGCTGGCTTTCTCATGGAGGAGGTGCACATGCTAGGATCACAGCTGCGTTCATTTATGCATTAATTTCACCCACCAGGTTTACTTGGAGTTTAAAGTTCATATAAGCTGAGAAAGTGCATAGATGAATGTCTTG